GCTTCAGATCGGTGCAGCACGCTGGCCATAGTGGCCATTTGAGGGGTGAACCAACAGCAAAGGAAGACCTTTCTCTCTGTCTGTCTCTCTCTCTCTCTCTCACTGTCTAACTCTGCCTGTCAAAAAAGAGAAACTTTTAAAAAGAAAAAAAAAATGAGTTTAATATTTTCATATAAATACAACCATCTAAATTCCAACATTCAACACAAAATCATCATGCTTATGCTTTAGGCATAAATAATTTTATGTATACATTCCATGTATGCGAATGACTATATAGATAGAAGGAGAGTTTTAAAATCATCGATTTAACACTGTATAATAATCCTCAGCCTTAATAGGCACGTTGCTGGATAATCACTCTGTATAACATTCCTCAGCCTTAATAGGCACGTTGTTGGAAAATCACTCTGATCCCTGTGTACTTTTGTGCCTACAGACAGCAACATAAAGAGAAACAAGTAAACACAGGATCTTTTGGTGCCATTTGGAAACTGCCTTTTGTTATGCAAGAATGCACTGCAGATTTACTATCTGATCATTTTTTAATCAATTGATACAAATCTGAATGTTAGTCACTGGAGCTGATGTTTTGATTGTATGTTTGGAAGCGGACCAGCAATGAAGACTAAAACCTGAGCATGGACTATGGAGGCTGGCTTGTACCCCTTATTACCTTTTTGTGCAGAGTGTGAAATGCAGGGCTTCTAAAACTGCATCCCACAGCTAGGGAGACTAACAGCAATTATGTCGCTAGCTAACCCGACCTTTACAATGAAAATGCATCTATGTTTAACACAGTGCAGAAGTAAAAGACTCTGTAAGGACAAATTCTTGCTTACTTTTTTTCGCAGGATGCTGTCCTCATTCTCACACCTTCTCTCCAGCCAAAGGGAAGTGCCTTCCTTCCGAATTCCAGATCATCCTTGTATTTTTCTTAACTCGGTGTTAATCCCTTTGCTTTGAAGACTTTGCTCCTCAGCTCTCTCATTGAAGACCCAAATTACACCTGCAGCATCCCTCACTATTTCTGACATATCCGGGTGAAGTCCTTCCTGGGCACCTGGCAGCACCGGCTCTCCTTCCACCACGGAACTGGCCTTGCTGTGTCCTCATTTTCTACCTGCACACAAGACCTCACCTAATGACGAGCCTAGATGGACCCTCCATCTAGGACCTGATCCAATCAAAGACAGGCCCTGGGATGTACATAAAGAAAGCCTCAACCCTACATCTTGCCCAAAGCCCCTTCTGGGCCATCTCCAAATACTCTCCTCTCTAAACACACAAACTTCTTTCCAAACAGAAGCCTCGCTGGATGGCATGATGCCTTGTCTATATTCCGTTTATTTCTTGTAAGCCTCAATTTCTACCTTTTGTCACCACGGGTGTGAAAAGACAGCTGATGCCAGCGTTCCATGCAGAGTTTTCAAAAAGGTCAACTGGCATTCAGATTTCTGCTGGTAAAATTCATTCCTTCTCTTTCAAAAATTTAATGAGAAAGGACAGCTTTGTGAAATGGAGGAGCGAGAACAATATTGCTTAAATAAATTGGAATTTGCACTTTGATTACCCTGCAGTTTCTGCTGTACTTTACTGGAAATGCTCCCTGTGGTGCAGGTTCTCTCTGGAGTGACATCATCATACGAAGCCATCCTCACTATAATTATTTCCATCCATATTTGCAGAGGACAGAGCAAGAACATTCAGGAAGGAAGACTGGCTGCATACATAACAATTTCAAACTGTACAGTCACCGGAAAGCCACATTAAAAGGCAAATGATATATCTTTATGTATGCCTCTGACCCCAAAGGAGGTATTTCATATTCACAGTAGGAAAAATAAAGTCTCTTTCAAACAATGAGATTCTGGTAACAGCCAATATTCTATGCCATGAAATAAACAGCACATGGAGCTTCAGTTGCTTTTCTTGGAATAATGTTTTAAAAAGGTGTAACATAGAAGGAGCAGACACATTTTAATTCTTGTCAAATTCAAATCCTCTTGGAACTTCAGCTCTGTCAATGTTAACACTGAGTACTGGGATTTCAAATTTTCATTCTTGACAATGTTGCTTTCCCTTTTGGAGAAGTTGATTGTTCTTTTTAGACTGTGGATTTGATTTTTAAAAATTTTAACAGAAGTAAAAATGCCATTGGAACAGTATTTTCTCAAAAATTAAATAGCTTACTGAAAAACAAGATTTTTTGATAACTTATGTAAAATTTTAAAATGTGAAAGCTGTGAATTGGTTTTCCTGAGACCTAGTGAGTTGCTCAGGCTGGCTATACCCATGGGGAGGCCAGCCTCTCACTGCTGGGAGGAAAAGGGCACAGGCGGGCTTTTTGTCTCTTGGAAAATAAAAGCTTCCACCATCTGCTCATTGAAGCTTTGATTTTGTTTTAAATGTAGTAAAACATGCATTTAACTCTGCAGTTAGTGATAAGGGCCCAACTCATCCATTCATGCATTCATTCATTCAGCATAAAAACAAAAGGAAAGAAAAGTGTGTTGAGTAGGAGATTAAATTGTTTACTTAATATAATAGAAGCAGGATTCTTTTTCTTTCTAACCACTGTTTTCAAACCTGCTCTCTAAAATCTCCCTTCTCAGTCCTTTAATGTCATCCCAATCAGATTCCAGCATTTTCCTACACTTATCAGTGGTTGAAAAGTCTGGGCTAATATAAACGCAGTTCAAACGTTCAGGACACAGCTCAGGGAGTGCTCTCACTGGACTTTGAGCTTTGATGACCGTGACATGCTTCTCTCCCAGCCCTCCTCTCTTCTGGGTTCTGGTATCCTGTGCTGTACACAGGGCCTAATAAGCAAGTTCTCCTCTGGTGTTGCTCTTGGTTATTTTTATTCATTTATTTAAGCTGTTGCCAAAGCCCAGGTTGCTGGACAATCTTTATTTTCCATCTGTTCCTGTGGCCCTGTAGGGAGACTGCTCCCCATATGGGCATGACCAACAGTGGAACCTTCCTCCAGCTGCCCCTACTTGGTTCTCAGCCCACCACGGTACATTCTCAGCATCTTAGTGCTGCAGCCTCCCAATGCAGAGACACAAGTGGGATTCCCTCAGCCACAACGACTTTCATGACACCTGTTTTGGCTGTTCAGGTCTCATTTTTATTTTATTTACACATTCCTGGAGTCACAATTGCACTCCAAATGGTTATATGTTTACTCAATGGATAATAAGGGGTCAGGATTGTATATCTATATCAGCAATTGGATCAGTGTCACATAACTGTTTACACCAATGGATCAACACCCACCTGCCTTCCCTACTGCAGTGCCTGTCATGATGGCCAGATGTGTCAGCACGGGACACTCTTGGGGCTGGTTTTAGTGTGATTTCATTCTCACGTGGCACAAAAGCCACTAATCAAGTTGACCCACTATGGTCATGCTGTCAAGAGCTGTCAGGCACATATATTTTCACTACTCTCACATTTCGTCTTCTCAGTTGAAATCGGTAACGATTAGTGAATGGTAGCAAGTGGTTCCGATTCTCAAACTTGGTAACTAAGTTCTAGACTCGCTTATAGGAGAAAAAAAAACAGATCTTTTAAAATGCTTTACACTATCTTAGAAGTGCTTCTCCAACTCTGTAAGACAAGAAAAGTCACGTTGCAGTCACACTGGGTGGCTTTCCTCCCACTAGCAATAAGCACAGGAGAATTGTATTTAGAGTCCACTATCAGAAACCAGAAATGCTGACTCTCATGGAAAACTGAATTCTGGGATTTGGATAATGAGTTACCCAGTCACTAAATAAAGCTCTGTTTGCCTGAAAAGAAACAGTTCCATTAAACGAGTCTGCCTCCCTTAATACTTTAAGTACAGAGGGAACATTAGGATATTTAGGTTAAAGACATGTGTTTTATACCATCACAATAATAAGAGCCCTTTCTGCCCTGTTGGAACAGGACGGATTTTAAATAAGTCACTCACACCTTCAGACTCCATGAATCTTATGCCTCTTTTGCACATGTTTAAAGAAACTTAACATCTTTTTAATTATACGTTGTAAATAATATTGACCAGCAGGCAAGTAAAAGATAGATTGTGGGTGACCGTTTTTCCAATTTGGTTTAAATCATTACATTTTCTTCATTTTTCTAAGCATACTATAAGGGCAATACCCATAGCCTATCCTTAGAGCTCAAAAAACAGATCTTCAGTGCTCAAAAAAGCGTGTTCACTTAGAAAAAATTCTGTGAAGTCGTAAGTGCTTATTGACAGCTTTCACAAATGCTCATGGATTTCCAACATAAACTTGTGACTTGCCAATGCAGAAAAACAAATTAGATGGTAAATTCACCAAAAACATTTTGTGTTCTGCATGTGCGAGGAGTATTGTTTTTGAGTAATGGCATAATTTTACACAAAATGACCCCTACGGCTGATTCCCAAATTTTCTTGATGAATGTTCACAGGGACTTAGCCTGAAAATCTGGTAGAGTCACTAGTAACGTAACAGGCCTACATTCAGTAATGGGTGGAGGCTCCGCTAAGGGGCTCCCCAGGAACCAGCAGTGAGGACTGGACCTGGTGATAGTAACTTCCTAACTACAGAAACTCCCATTATTTCGCTTAGTTTCAAACTCCGTAGATCTCCTTTTCTACTTTTTTTCATGATAATTCCACGTTCATTCTCTTTAACTTCAGTTTTTGTTGATGATCATAGCTGTTCATTGACCAAAGGAAAAACAAAAGAACTTTACAAGTTAATAGTAACTTACCAGAACTAGAAAAAACATAAAACAAAGGTATATTTATGGTTCTGGTAGTTAAGGCTAATCAGAAAATTTATCGATTATACTTTCTGCACATATTTACATTAAACTGTAATTTGATACCATTTCAGCCATATATAAATTCCAGATGAATTATGCTAGCATATCAGGAGTAGGTCAAGAAAACTGAGTGGTTTTATTTTTTATAGAAAAGTTCATAAAATAAATACTTTCCAAATGAAACTTTAAATAAATCATAAAGGCTTTAATGACTCTTCCTTGTCTAATCTTAAGGTCTGGAACATGCAGAGTGAAGGCACTGAGACAAATTATCTTATCATGCTGTTCAGAGCTATGCATCAGTGATTGGCTATGGTACCAAAGTTCCCTGGTTACACTGTTAAAATGATTAATTTTTTTTGCAGCAGTAGCATCCTTGTCCATTTTTGGAAAGCTAACTTTCACAGCAGTGTCCAGTTGCTAATGAGGGTTAACACCTCTTTTAGAGACAAGAAGGTCACTCCTGAATTGCAGTGTTAGGTAAAGTGAAGCTATTATACAAGTAGAGAAGCCACCTCTTTGGAAATGCGGCCAACAGTGAGAAGAAGCCATAGAAATTTGCCTGCCTGAGAGCGTGTCCTTCTGCACACAAAATTAAGCAATTCTTGATCGATTAATTTGTTTAGTAAAATAAAACTAATGACTTTGAAATAGAATAATCACTATCCCTTTCATTTTTATTTTGTTAGGTATTCATTCTGTGTCTACTAAGCTCTACCTCATACACTGTTAGGAATTTATTTCATTCTATAGCTATTACCAATGTGGCTGAAATCTCAGAGATAGTTACCAACAGACAGGAAGACCAGAAGATTCATCTAATGTTTGATGCATTTTGTCAGGTTTCAGGAGCACAGCAGGGAAGCAAGGTCTTTGGTGAATGACTGCATATATAATGAGTAGGGCAGCAGCAAGGTTAAAAAGCCAGCCACATGGCTACAATGAATTCAGCAAACTGCATCTCCCGAACACATTTTTTTTTAAATTTATGAATTCCGAGATACCTTGACTCACTACCAGGCTCCTTCTAATTACTAACAATGACAAGTCTGCCCTCTCAGTTGCAGCTGGGTGCCCCAGGCATCTTTACAGCAAAACCAACAAATGACTGAAATACCACGATTTCAACTCAAAACCAAAGCACAGTTGGAGATTTTTTACAAGACTGCTTGAAAGTTCTGTGTCTAAGGTTTGTGAGATCACAGAAGACGCAGGAGGACAACACAAGGTCAAATCTACATCTCATATACAAAGAATAAACTGCGTCCCTGATCCACGTGCCTCTGCTCACCATCTAGAGGATGAACAGTAGGGTCCTCAGCACAAAGCCCGAACGAGTGACCTCCAGGGCCCTGCGGTGAATAATGACCATTATTAAAGGAAGGTGGTGGCGGCGGCAGCTATGTCCTCCTGAGCCAGAAGGAGGGAAGGGCAGAGGACCTGCCTGGCATGTTATATGCTATGCTAATTATATTTGTGATGTCATTTTTGGAAGTATCTACATATTTTAATAGATAAAATAGTCCTCCAAGCATAGCATGAGACATCTTGTCATCAACCCTTTGTATGGCATAGTCTTTATTTTTTTTCTTCAAAATTGATGAATGTGATGAATATGTGGGACCTTCTGGTCCCACAAGATCAGGAAGAAAAAAGGTTCATGTATGCAGCTTCTTGAAGGGAGCTCTCTTTGAAACCTGGTGATAGCACACACAGCAAACTACGACTTCGGCGCAAAGGTCTGGGGTCATTGCAGCCCACCATTTCTAACCTGTTCATTATTCTCTATTCTTGAGAAATTCTCTTTAACAGGTTCACAGGGTGGCCGCCATCACAGGGGCAAAGGCTTGCTCTCTTGCATGCTGTAATATTTGTCCCTGGTAGCTATTTTAGAAGCTATTTCCCTGAGAAGGTAGGGGATGGACAAGAGAACAGAGAATGCATGTTTTTTTTTTCCCCCATTTTCTTTCATTCTACACTGAGCACCAGGGATGTAAAATGTCATTTTCATCACTCTCTTGCTTTTTTTTTAATCCACAGAAGTCAGAAATATTACAGAATACCTTCATTGAATTACATCTGCTTGGCATTCAAACATTCATATCAATATGATGAAAAGACACCTTGGGTGTTCGGTTCTGTGATAGTCACAAGAAATATGAGAAGGTGGATATCAAACTGCCTCTTTAATTGAAATGGCCCAAAACTGTCTACCTCTCCAAGGGGCCTGAACGTGGATTTTTTCAAGGCTATGACATTCAGATTTAATGGTGGCATCTGCTAACAGGTGAACAATTGTTAGGAATGCCAACCAATAGAAATAGCAAAACTACGGGCTTTTTCTACATTATGAAAGGAGGCATTTCACTAATCCTAGATGCATCCATTTGTACAGTCTGCACCATCTTCTAACCTAGGCATTCTGGTATTTCAACTTATATTTTACAAAATTCTAGGACTGGATTAAATACAGAATTCATGTAGCATATTCGATTTATATCTACTTGTTGGTTTTCTTTCCCTGTGATAGCTTTTATCTTTGGACTATGCCTCTGTGGCTTAGTGGTATTCAGTGAGTACCCAGAGGTGTGTGCTGGTTGTGACCAGGGAGCTGTGTTCAGTGCTTCAGGGTGAGGGGAGTGTCCAAGATGACACCAAAGTTGCACATGGTAAATTCCTTCCCCTACCTGTTTTATCAGAGGGGAGGGTTTGATCAGCTCTGTTCACATAGTCTCACACCCTCCTCCTCTCTTTCAAAGAGACCAATGCCGGGTGCCAGCCCCAGTGTGTCCAGTATTCATCCATGCTGCCACAAGAATCACGCAAGGATCTGTGCACTCCCCAGCGTGAGCACAGAACCCACAGCAATGACCCTCACCAGCAATCAGGGAGCCCTGAGTATGTGGAGCTGCCCACAGAGACTGCCCAGATAGCCAGCCACACTTTGTGCCCTCCCACACAGCCAGTGTTTCCACAGCCCCAACACACAAGGCTCCCACAGTCATGAGTGCCAGCCCCCGTCAATGCTCCCAGACAGACTCAGGTGTCTCCTCTCAGCTGGTTGCTGGGCGTGCGGACACAAGTTTGCACAGCTGTTAAGTATGTCCAAAATGGCGCCCACTCTCTCTCAGCTGGTTGCAGGATGCATGTACTGGGTGGCTGGGAGAGAGAAGCATACCCCTTTTTTTTTCTTTAGATTGGCAGGTACCCTGTCTCCCAAAGGCCTCCAAGCCAGACTCACACCAGGCTCTTCCTGCAGCTTTATCGCCAGTGGCTTGGGCTGCTGCAGTCTGGTCTCACTTCACTCTCCAAAGCTGGTGCTGAGGCTCTCGGCTGCTGGGGTCCTGAGTTGTGCACGTCCACACGTCCACACCCTCCATGTAGAAGATCCACAGTGTCTCTCTAATTTGTGTGGAGATTCCTCTGCAATTTTCCCCCTAACTCTTCCTGAGATTGCACTTCCTCCACTTTTTTTTTTTTTTTTGTAAACAATCTTCCCCTAGACTAGAGCAGTAAACTCCCTCCCTAGTCTGCCATCTTGGAATCTCTATTTGTTCCAACTAAAAACTGCACTCGTTCCGTGAAATAACAATTTAGGCTCTGAAACAGGAAAAAAAAAAATAGAGAAGACCTTTAACACCTAAAATGACACAAAACTTATGGGAGATTTACTCTAGAAGGGTTCAAATGAAATGTAAATGAAAACTTGACCTTGAAAGGAATTCTAAATTAAAAATTTGTCTTCAAATTTCTGTATATAGGGCCAGCGCCCTGGCTCACTAGGCTAATCCTCTGCCTTGCAGCGCCGGTACACCGGGTTCTAGTTCCGGTCGGGTCGCTGGATTCTGTCCTGGTTGCCTCTCTTCCAGGCCAGCTCTCTGCTGTGGTCCGGGAGTGCAGTGGAGGATGGCCCAAGTGCTTGGGCCCTGCACCCCATGGGAGACCAGGAGGAAGCACCTGGCTCCTGGCTTCAGATCAGCGCAGTGCACCGGCCGTGACAGCCATTGGAGGGAGGAAGACCTTTCTCTCTGTCTCTTTCTCTCACTGTCTACTCTGCCTGTCAAATAAATAAAAAATAATTTCTGTATATAGGCACTTCACTTTAGAAGATAATACAGTATGAAACAGAGCAGTTGGCATTGCGTGACATCAGTAAATAATAGGGGCTGGGGTGTCAGAAGGTGTTCATGCAAGCATACCACCCTGCAAACCTTAAACCCAGGTGTGCAATAACAGCAAGGCTTGTGAATACACTATAAGGGTGGAACTGTGTCTCACATGAAACTTACTCTTCAAGTCCACATCTCTCAGGATGCTGAGGTGAGCTGCTAACATCTGTCTACATCAAGACATCATTAAGTTGGTTGATAACAATGGATAAACCTCTGTGAAGTTCAGTCAAGTACTGTAGGAGATATGGGGGAAAAAAGACAAATTTCATGGCCACTGTGATTATTTTCTATTTGCTGGGAAAAAAGTATGTAAAATATTAAATAACATAAAAATTAAAACCTTATCCTATATCAGTCCAAAAGATGACACATGATGTGTGTAATAAATTCACAAATAGCTTATTCCATGCAATTATTTTTATTTCTAATATTTTAAGATTTGTATCTCTCTGTGTGTTGTGAGGTGTGTCACCTGTAATATGTTATAAAGTATCTGAGCTTGTAGATTATTTATAGCCCATTATATTGATTCAAGGCCATCTTTATAAGGATGTTACTCAATTTATTTTCATTTTGATGTGATGACTGAAGTAGGGGACTAAAGGGGAACCCCAGGTGTTCACTTGAACCTGACCACAACTTTCACTGTCCCATTTAAGATTGCACAACCCCTGCCTTCTACTCTATTATGCCTCACCACATTTGTTTTTGTCCTCAACAGCATTCATAACTTTATAACATATAATATAATTTCCTTGTCTCTGTAGTATAGTGGTATCATGTTTGCATCACATAATATAATTTCTTCATTTATTAATTGATTCTTTTTTTTTTTTTTTGACAGGCAGAGTGGACAGTGAGAGAGAGAGACAGAGAGAAAGGTCTTCCTTTGCCGTTGGTTCACCCTCCAATGGCCGCCACGGCCGGCGCGCTGCAGCCGGCACACCGCACTGATCCGATGGCAGGAGCCAGGTACTTCTCCTGGTCTCCCATGGGGTGCAGGGCCCAAGCACTTGGGCCATCCTCCACTGCACTCCCTGGCCACAGCAGAGAGCTGGCCTGGAAGAGGAGCAACCGGGACAGAATCCAGCGCCCCGACCGGGACTAGAACCCGGTGTGCCGCGCTGCAAGGCGGTGGATTAGCCTAGTGAGCCTCGGCGCCGGCCATTAATTGATTCTTAATTGCCTTTCAATACCTGCTAAGTGGAAGCACCAGAAAGCAAGAGACTTTGTTTAAATTGTTTGCTAAACTATCTCAAGCCCTGAGAAGAACATCTGGTACACAGTAAGCACTCAATAAATGGGTGCTGCTATTGTCATTGTTGCCGTACTCAGCTGGGAATGTTTCCTGGCATGAAAGTCTCTGGGATCATTTTCTACACAATGAAAAGATTGAGAACTATTGTTATAAGCAGTTATGTTACAAATTCACAGTACTACAGAAATATTTTGTTCTATTAAAACAGTTGAATTTGAAATGAGCCCTAGGCTTTCTAAGAGCATGCTAAAACATAGAATTTAATTTTAACATAATTGAAATATGTGTTCCTTCCTCAGTCATTCTGTCTCACTCTGAGATGATCACATCTGAAACAGTCTAACTTATTGTCTATTTGTCTGCAGTTCCCTGGAAAGGTAAGGTAAGGAAGGTAAGACAACTTGACCTTCTGACCTATAGCTCTGTTCTCAGTGCTCTTAGCTGGCTGTGAGACAGTAGGAGTGCATCCCCAACTTGTAGAAAAATGCTTTCTCCTCCATCCCCGTCTCCAACAAACCAAAGAAGGTCAACACAGTTAATATTAGTTTTCTAATAACTTAGCAGGTTTTTAAAAGGTGCTGTCTCCAGTGTATTCACTGACTTGAACAGCGCTGTGTCCCAGTACTGCATCTAAGGCCAAAGAAAGGTCAGAAAGCAGTAACGAAGCACAGGCCACTGCGGGGAAGCTGCCGAAGGGAGGCAGGTGATACAGTGCCAGGGGAGAACTGGTGATGGACAAGCGCTGAGCACTAGAAGACTCACACGTGAAAAGGGAAAGCGAGTCTTGTTGACAAGTGAAGACCAGTGAGAAAGGAGTGCAGCGGAATACATTCTTTTTAATGAAGTGTTAAGTAGATCACCAGGAGAGGTAGATAATGACTGTGATGAAGAGTTGGCTAAGGTGTGAAAAAAAAATAGAAAAGAAAAAGCAAAATTAAGTGGCACTTGGTCAATCACAGGAGAGCACGAGGCCCGAGAGAGCTTCTGGAAAGAATGGTCAATCCCTTGCAAAACTCCCAGCACCTTTTGAGTAATCAAGTTGGGCGGCTCATTAAAATGATGTGTGAAAAGATAGGTACACTGGAAAAAAGTCAAGGGAGCTGAGAAATAACTAGAGCAATACAATTACTGTTTCTGCAATGGGGAAAAAAAAACAGGGATGCAAAGTAGTCGAGGAGAGGCATTTAAGAAAAACCCATCAGAAGACTGAATGGGTTCGAGGGAAATAACAGGAGCAGTAAAGCTGCGGAGGGACACGCCTGGCCAAGGGAGAGGAATATTTAAAATTGCATGTGTCTATGCAGAATAACTCTGCTACCAGAGAGGGAATTCAAAGAAGTCATTAAAGAGGAATATGAGGAAATGGGAGGATAAGATTTCAGTTTGTCCCCGTGTATGGGCTGCCTAAATATAGAATTATCATATAAATTACAACCAGGGAGCTGCTTGCATTGGGTGAAGGCCTCCAGTGTTCTCCCAAAAAAAGGTGATAAGTTGAGCTCTAATTATTTTGAATGGTCTGGTTAGCTCTCTGCATTTACACTGAAGGGAAGTGAATCAAATACATATATATATATATGTATATATTTGTGTATATATGTATATATATGCACATATATATGTGTGTAACTTTGACATTTTAGCATATACAAGATCATGTGTGACTCACAACACACCTGTCACATGAAAGCCTTTACTGCAACTTTGAGGAAACTGAGAACACATAGTGGAGCCAGGATTTAAATCCACGTTTGGATAGCTCCAAATTCTCATGCCACCTAGTTGCTTCCTACATTAAAAGAAGCTGATAATGAAGCATCAAATTATTAAAGACAAAAAGTAAAAAATGACTGTTGTGGTTGCTATGCTAACTCACACTCAGAATCAGATGGCAACCTTGGATAAATTATCCTTTCTCCCTAGGCTTCAGTCTTGATAAGATCCCCTATGTTGTGAGACCAACACTTAAATACAAATAAACGTGTTTAATGAGTGGCACCCACTTATTTAAAAAATCCTTAGGCTTCCTTTACCATGTTTTCCTAGGCATCACAATGCTCCCCAATCTTTTTTCAGAGATCCTGTGGTGGCAATGGGGAAGCAGTATGATTTACTCATACATTCATTCATTTCTCTATGAACTACCATTTACTGAGTTCTCTACATGAACAAGGTACTTTGCTAGGTTCCTAAAATAAGCAAAATGATGACATTTTCTGTCTACATAGACTGTGCAATCTATTAGTTGACAAAAAGCTAATGAAGAGATAATTATATAAGAGCAGATATTATTAAGAGAAAACTGGAGATCTTGTGGAGACACATTGGAGTGATTCTAATTCTTTTTTTTTTTTTTTTTTTTGACAGGCAGAGTAGACAGTGAGAGAGAGAGACAGAGAGAGAAAGGTCTTCCTTTTGCCGTTGGTTCACCCTCCAATGGCCGCCGCTGCAGCCGGCGCACCGCGCTGATCCTGGCAGGAGCCAGGAGCCAGGTGCTTTTCCTGGTCTCCCATGGGGTGCAGGGCCCAAGCACCTGGGCCATCCTCCACTGCACTCCCTGGCCATAGCAGAGAGCTGGCCTGGAAGAGGGGTGACCGGGACAGGATCCGGCGCCCCAACCGGGACTAGAACCCGGTGTGCCGGCGCCGCAAGGTGGAGGATTAGCCTATTGAGCCACGGCGCCGGCTGATTCTAATTCTAATAGACTAATTCAGTGACGGCATACTCGGGGGGAAGATGGGACTAGGGGTATTCATTTTCTAGACAGACAAAACAAATCTCAAAATCCTAGAAAAAGGCCACCATCATATGATGTGTGATGCCAATCCTTGAGCACTGAGTACTCACCAGACCAGTGAAGAAGGTGAAATTCGTTTTTCACTGGTGCCCATGCCAAAGACACAGCAACCATAGTAATGTGCAATCAGACTGCAGAAAGACAATTCCCTGTTGCCAGAATGACTCTAAAAATCACTTACATCGCCACTTTGGATATCTCAAAGTCTAATGTGGTTGGTTTTCCCACCAGTTTTGGGAAAAGTAACTATTTATATTCAATACAGATAGCTGGCCAGTCATGGGGCCAGCCATGTTGTATGGGAAAAGGATCCTGACCCGTCAACATATTAAGTTCCCACTGACATGAGTCAACAACAAGTGATGTGTCTCCAACATGAGGCAAAGGGAATGGTGGATGCAAGTTCTATTCCCACACTCACCCTTTATTGTTGTAAATGTTTGGCTGATGGTCAATACATGGCTCCTATTTGGAAAAGGCAGCAATCAGAATGCTCCCTTGCCTATCTGGGAGCACAGCCATTGTGAAAACGATACTTTTCTGTGGCTTCACAAAGACATGTGGCTCAAATAGTGGGGCAATCTGGACAAAACAGTATTATCTTGAAACCAAGAAGACATTTATTTGGGTCTATGAGAATTGTCAATATCTCCAAGTCACCTAATATGGGCAGCTACTCACACACACACAAAACCACTCCAAGCCACATTTGTCATTAGTCTAGGAGCCAGGTTACCCTGCCTCTCTGTCTTCAGAATCAGAATGCGTTCTGCATCACAGATGGCTTTTACTCCAGCACCATGACTACAGGGAGTATTTGAAAATAGACCTCCAAGCACTTAGAAAGTATCTATTGTTTGCTTACTGTGGCATGTTTTGAGAGAGAGGTAAAATATCAAAACATAGTTTCTTTCCCCTCCAGTCTAGTGGGAGAGCACACAATAAACAGGAAATTAGAACGTGCCTAGTGTAAACACAAAGCGGCAAGTTACACACAAGGGTGGCTCTTACCTTGAGGGGCTGGGAGACTCTGGGAAGGAGGCAGCTCCTCCTAACTATAGGGATCTGTATATTCATCTGTCACATGAGTAGTGGAAGCTTTTCCTTGACGAGAGTGTTGATGACGAAAGAAATGGAAGATGCATGCTCTGAATATCTACTATATTTTAGGAAAAATAAAATAGAAGTGTAAGACACAAAGAAGCGTCTTCATCTCTGTTGAGAGTTTGCAGAGCAGGTGAAAACTAAATCCCAGCTACAAGAAAGCAACATTCCCAACATTCAAAGGCGTCTTAGTCACGTGCCAAAGTGATGGTTGTGGGAAATATCAGAAACCTTGAAATCCTTACAGGAAATCAGATGCTAACTGTGTCTGTGAACCACGGGCAACGTGGCAGGTATGCGTTCATACAGAACACTGAAATAAGATCCCCAGACTACTCGTAATGTTGCCTCCTGACCATACAGCGTCAGCAGAAGGTCATAGAGGGTTCTTTGTTCAGTGACATGAACTAATCATTGATCAGCAGTTTTGGCACTGAGGCACATGCTGTTTCAAAGGGGCAAGAAGTACCACTGGAATTATTGGGCATTATCAACAAAGAAATTTCTAACATACGGCATCTTGAGTCCACACAAAAACACCCCTCTTTCGACTAAGAAAGCATACAAATGGTGTGCTGCTAAGGAAAAGAAGGTTGAGAATATAGACTTTTCCCCCATACTGTTTTTTATTAGGTTGTAATTGTGTTGTTACTCAGTATATCATTCTTTAGGTAAACTATTAGTTGCATTTCCATTTTTACTACATTATTATAGTCACCAAGAAGGCAAATGTGTTTGCCACTTCCAAATAAACAACTTCTTCTATCTCCAATGTTATGAACACAAAAGGAAGAAGGAAATAATACACAGAGAGGGACTCAAATGGTAGTAATTTCATTTCTATCTTTCGAGTTATTGAATCATTTTTGGAGTGTGCCTCCATATAAACTTTATGAAAATCACCTGCCTGCCTGTGGCAAATATTCCCATCCATATTCAAACTTCCTGTGGTCACATACATCTCGAAAAATAATGAGTGTGCAATTGTCCCCATTGTTTCAGCAAGTAATTTAAAGCAAAACAATTGTCAAATGATTTCTTTACAAACCTGCTGGCAATTTTTGTTAATATATTCTCTGCCTAACAAATTTCTAAATGTTCCCTTCGAAATAGTAGAGGAGAAGAACACTTCCATTTTATTCAACAGTAAGTTTTGTTCAATAGGAAGCACTAACATTGGTTGGAATAAATCATTTATAATTAGAATGAGAAAAGCCTGCCTCTGATTCTGGACTTTGTCATTTACTACTTGTGTGACCTTTGGAAAATTTTTTAACATCTTTGACCCTCAGTTCCCTCACCTCTAAAATCAAGTAAATGGTAGCTACCTAATTGGGTAGTTGTATTAATAGGTATTTAGAATACCATTTGGCTTGTTTTAGAGACTCAACATTAGACTGGCAATGACTACTTATTAATACTAAAATAGTTTTATTAACTTACATATTCATCATTACTGCTTTTTTGAGTGTGTAATTATGAAGAAACAGCCTAGGCCTTGGACCTGTAAAACCTATGTTTGAATCCTGAGTATTGTGTGGAATGCTGAAAAAGCCATTTAACCTTTCTGTACCAGAACTTCTTCCAGTGGAAAACTTGATTACCAATGCCTACCTTGCCATATCATTGCAAAGACTGAATGAGGCCATTCTTCAAGGCACATTGTAGACATTCAGGGAATGGTAACTCTTGTTATTATAGTATTATTACTACAATACCAGTAGGTGATAAATAAGAAATCATCTTATATGTCTTAGAATAAAATAGCAGCATCTTTCAAAGGGACGAAAAACAAGATTGTTTTCAGTTTTGCAAGCCCCTGGTTAGCGATGCCCTAGTATGTTCTATGACAAGGACTGGTATTTACCAAAGCCTCCGCATGAACACAGTGAGGATGAATACAAAAACAGGGATTTCAACATGTGACTAAACAAGTTTTAATATCCCCAGATATTTTTACAAAGCCACTAAAAAGTTGTAAAATATTCTACATGTTAAAGCTTGGGAATATATAGCTATTATCTGGTCATAGAAAGGAGCTAGAAGAAATAAGGGCAGCAATATCTTGCAAAACACAAATGCATACACAATGGACCAATTATCTCATCCTTAATTCTTCTCCAAAATAGTTGTTTGGGAAAATACATAAGAGTATTAAATTTAGTTGTTATTCCAGTTTGTCATAATCCAAACATTTTAAATTCTGTCCATTCATTCCTATCAGTGGTAGTAACTACAACAGATAAAGGAGAAAGACCCTAAAACAATAGATTTCTCAAGGGTAATTTAAAAATATCTCTGTATAAAATTGTTTTTAACACAGGATTTATGGACAATAGGTTACATTTAAGAGTTAATTACATTTATTGATTACATTTAAGAGTCGATTCTTTAGAAACTAAAGGAACAGGCCTGAAAAGATTTGCTTTAATCAACAAGTTTTATTTCTTAGAACTGAAACAGTCTGAAGTTCAGAGACAAACTTCCAAAGGTTCCACCAACAATTTTTTCATCAGAGCCCAAGGTGGGAGAGGGTGGGGTGAAAGACAATTGATGACAAATGCCGAAGAGAGACCCAGGAAGAGTCTGGAATGGGCCACCTACTTCCTTCTGTCCTCTCAGTAGATTATATGCAGGATCGGTAAAAAATACTGAGGGATCAAGCTGGGAATGTGGATGGTAAATGACACCACAAGGAATACCAAAGCCCAAACCACCAGCAAAAAAAATCTCAGTTCATCTCAACTGGAGGTGGCAATAGCAGAGCTGGGAGCACAGGCAGGCATACCCAGCATTTCTGAATTTTAACTTTTTCCCTCTTTTTAGAAAGCTTTCTAAAATCCATGTCTTTTCTTTTCATGCCTGAGTGATGTGGATATGTATTATTCATAGGGTGGCCTTGAGGCTTTGGGGAGAGGGAACGGGGCAGCCAGGTCTCCCCACGGCATCCCATCAGCAGTCCTAGAGCTCTCCATGGGGACACAAATTTCTTGCACCAAGTCTTCAGATCTCACAAATTGGAAGGCCCCAGTGTTGGTTCCCAGAACCCCATGGGTCGGCCAAAAAAGGATTCACGGAAGGGAGACCCTCCTGGACAAGCTGTCCTGCCTTTCTGAGACCCGAGAAGCTGGGATAACAGAGGAAGAGGGGGCAGCGCGTCTCAGAAGATGTCTACTCTCGCCCCATCACCCAGTTTGAAGACTGCCCCTCTCCGGCCTCCTGCTCTTCCTCTCTTCTCCCGCAGCGGCCCAGAATGTCCAGGGGAGGGAGGCAACAGTCCATTATCCAAGGTGGGGGTCCCGTTCTCAGGCAGGGAGCTGGGCGGGCAGGCGGCGGGGTACTGGCAAGGATGGGCAGAGTCAAGGGCGGTGGAGGGGCCCGCGTCCAGGTTCTGCGGAGCAGCTGGGCCGCGGCAGGGACAGGGCAGGGCTCTGGTGGAAGCGGGGCGGCTACAGGCCGTCGCCGTGCGCGCCGGCCACGGCCTCCTGGGCTGCGGCGGCGTCCTCCTCCTCGCGGCCCGGCCCCACGCCGCCGCCGTTCTCCAGCTCCACGAGCGGCAGATCCTCACCGGCGCTGGCCGCGGCCTCCTCCTCGGCCTCGGGGCCGGCCTCCCGCGGCCGTTTGGGGGCGTCGTCCCGCTGGCCCCGCGCGCCCCTCTTCAGAGGCCCCTGGCCCTGCTCGGCCTCCGCCCGGGCCTCCGCCTCGTCGGCTTGGCCTGAGCGCTGCGCGTCGCCGCCGGCGGCCCTGGGCTCCGGGCTGTGAGCGCCGCCCGCGGCCGCCGACAGCGGGGCCCCGGGGTTGTGCTCGATCTCCCACAGCCCCTCGCTGAAGCCCCGGCGCCTGTTGGGCTTGCCGAACTTCTCCTTGCACTCCTCGTACGGGAAGAGGTGCTTGGGGCCCAGAAAGGCCGTCTCGTGGGTCCCGAAGAAGAACACCTGGTACCGGTTGGGCTCGGTCATCTGCTCCACCCGGGCCGGCCAGTGAGCGTAGCCCTTCATCTTGGCGAACACCAGGTCGCCGCTCTCGAACTTGCGGCGGCAGGAGGGAGCCGACATGGCGGGGAGCCGAGGGGGCCGGGACGCCAGGCTTGGCCTCGCGGGCCTTGCGTGTGCGAGAGGCGCTCGGACTCCCCGAGGAGAGCGAGGTCGGCGGCGTTGCCCCCACTCTGATGCTGCGGTTCTTCGAAGGACACAGTAAGAGCCCGGATGACCTCGGGGGCCTGCGTCACAGAATGCTCCATGGCCACGTTGAACCAAACATCCAAATTCCTATCTGACGTGGAACGGTTCGTGCTGGATGGCAGATGGGCTTTTCCTGCTCAGTATTTCTTGCATTCTGTGAAACAAAGGAGTGCATGGCTCTTGAACACTCAGTCTAGACAGAATGCTCTCTGTGTCTTTCAAGAGCAGAAATTGGGCTTTTTACAGCTTGTGCTTCTATGAAAAATTCTGTTAACCCATTATCTCGGAAGGGAAACTTTTTATAAGCGAATTTTCTTCAGATGTTTCCTTTTTTTTTTTTTTTTTTGACAGGCAGAGAGAAAGGTCTTCCTTCCGTTGGTTCACCCCCCAAATGGCCGCCACAGCAGTGCCAATCCGAAGCCAGGAGCCAGGCGTTTCCTCCTGGTCTCCCATGCGGATGCAGGGCCCAAGCACCTGGGCCATCCTCCACTGCTTTTCCAGGCCACAGCAGAGAGCTGGACTGGAAGAGGAGCAACCGGGACAGAACCGGCACCCCAACTGGGACTAGAACCCCGGGTGCTGGCGCTGCAGGTGGAGGATTAGCCTAGTGAGCCATGGCGTCAGCCTCAGATGTTTCTAAACTTGGCAATGGGAGTTTGGGAGCATCTGCAGTTATTACAAAATGTCCTCAATCTTTCTGATTCCAGGTAGCTAGCTCTGAGCTGACACTCCATAACCTACCCACATTTATCTAACGGGACTTCTATGGCAAAGACTTTTCAATGCAAAGCATGGATTTAATTAGATAGATGGTCCTTCCTAGTGTAACCAGTATCCATTGCAAAATTGGAGCCATTAACCAATTTTAGCACAATTGAAAACTCATTTCCAGTTTGCCAGATTGGATCAGCCATTTTGCCTCTGGATGGTGGAGACCTGCTCCAGGCCAAAGGAGAGACCATCTTCTTTTTAAAAAGATGGAACAAATATGATGCCTTTTGATCATTCTAAATAATTTTTTAGCTTTTCTGTTAAGCAGGTTTTCAGAATGCCTAGCTGCCCCACAAATAGTTACAGCTTTACCAAATAGGCCACATCAACAGTAAATCAATGGTGTGTTCACAAATCTACATTCCATTACAAAAGTGAACCTGATACATTTCCTCTTCTCAATTACAGGCAAAATGTTAGAAAATTAGAAAGACATAATACCTAGAGAAGAAATCAGAAACTCAAGGGTCGCTACGGAGCCTCTAGTATGAAGGAATTTGGAGTTCCTGTAAGCAGAGTCTTGCTACATGTGGCCTTCTCCTCCTACTTTTCTCAGCTTGAAAAGATGCTGCACTTATGCAAAAGGTCACATACAAAGGTCGTCCAGGCAGAGGAAAGTCTGGCTAGACATTATGTGCTGAAAGGTATGTAGTTACATCATCAGCTCAGTATGAAGGCGAAACCCCACCTAATACCAGCTGTCAAAGGTGAGCGAGATCATGGCCAGCAAATGGGCCACACTAGAACAGCTGGGTGGCTGAACCACAGTAGGTAAACAGGCACGAGGGTGTTTGCTGGATGGGAGATACGAGGATTAGAACAAATAACAAAAACCTACAGGAACCAGTACAGCAGTGGTGGAGACATGATGGCCTCGCAGACATGGATCTTGATCTGCAAAAGGCAATGCAGATTCCACAGGCAACAAAGTGTCTTTCCCCAGGTAGATCTCGTACTTCAGCCCTGCTCACTAATACATATGTGGCGCTTAAAGGTTCGCCTAGAAGATGTGTCTTTATCTTTGTGGAGTTCACAATCTGATTTAAGAGATAAATCACTGGAATGTTCATTGCAGAACAATACAAGCTAGTTTTCTAATGCTAAACTATATGTCCTTTACATAAATACCAAAGAAATCACAGGAGAAATCAATGGGAATGTGGTTATTAAGGCAGGTTTATGGAAGGCATAGGAGAAAATATAACAGAATTATGGTATCTCTCAATTGTTTGCCAGGCATATAAAGCCAGGAGTAGATGTTTCTGAACCTCTGATATCTGATTTTTAAAAGTATTTAAACTGACACTTTGACTTTCGCTCAGGATTGCTACAAATACATTAAGGAGATGAAAGTCCAGACAATGGACTATGAAACTTTATAATGTACAAATAAATATGAAGTAGAATTCCTTTATATATAGAACGTCTATTATCATTGGGTTAAATAATGAACAAGAATCACCAAAAGGAATAATAGAGTCATGAGCTAGGATGCTGAAGAATAAATGTTCTCCACCAAATTACATATTACATACACTTAGATACAGAATCATATATCCAACACATGAGAATCTTATAACTAGGTGATAGGGTTGTGAAAATTGTTCTACAATTAAGTGTATCACCTAATGGTATCGTTTCCAGAAAGGAAAAAATGCAAGGAAGGTTGAATAAAAGTTGGTTGCATTTGAATACAGTCTGATAGAAGCCACTTTCACAGATACCCTGCATTCTTGGTGATGCGATTAAGTGGAGAGTCCTGGCTTCTTTTACCTTTGAAACATCTTGTGTATAAAGTTAGTGTCTCTCTTGCACAAAGTAACAAGAGTAGGGAAGTGGTGTTCATAGGAGTGTGGTTAGGTTTAGATTGCACTATTATATGAACAAGATACACACCAACAACCAGTATTAATTTCCAGGAAGGAGATCTCCCTGCAGTCAAAGGTTTCCAACAAGTTACAATGGTTTAAATGCACTGAGCAGACCTGTCAATAAGGAGGACCTGAACAGCAGCTGCTTATCTACAAAAGCAATACCTTAGTTTCCAAAACATAGAACAATCCTCTGTTTCCTTTTCTGGAGAACTAATGGCAGGATTTAAAAGCTGCTCAGCAACATTTATGAAACAGAGGCAATAAAACAATATAATTATACAAGACAGAAGATAGATATCTAATTGATATTTTCTTGTTTAATTACTTTTAAATTCAATTAGTTTAGTGTAAACTGTGATTTAAAAGAAATATAATTGTTTTTATGTGTTTTTGTCTTCATTAAAAATATTAACTACCTCTCTGAGTTTATATAGAAGTGTTTATTCATGGTTCTATGTGAGATCTGGTTGTGCATTTTTAAATGTAATAGCAGAAGTAAGTACAGAAAATAAGTATCCCGCCTGTGATGTGTAGAAAACCCCTAAGTGTTCTTTCTGAAAGTACAGGAGGTCCACTCCCTCTGTATTTTGTCACTTCTATATTTCGTTGGTATCCATTTAGCCTATCCGTTAAAACCCCAGAGATTTCTGAAATCCAAGGGAACTGCGGGATAAATTCACCATTAAGTGGACTGTCCCAGGAGCTAACAGATAATTTAAGGAATCTTCCCAAGGATCTGTATCATCAAGGATTTGTATCATCATCATTTGCCTTTGATGATGGGCTTTGGCGAGGGAGAGAGGAGAGTGCAAATTTTCAAGTGTATTATAGCAAAGTGTGCAGGAGGGGGCAATTGGTAAAGTGGGAATTGTTTGCAAAACTACTGCTTTAGTGGTCATGGAAGGGAGTTTGCCACTATAAAACTAATAAAAGTGGCTGGTGATGAATAATTGTACTTCATTATATTAATTTGGAAGCTTAGAGATTTTCATGGCCCAAGTACTTGTACCCCTGCCACCCATGTTGGAGACAATGGTGGAGTTCCTGGCTCCTGGCTTAGCTTCAGACTGTTCCAGACCTGGCTATTGCAGTCATATGGGGAGTGAACCAGAGGATGGAAGGTTGATCGCTATCTCTCTGTATTTGCCTTTCTTTTTTGTTGCTCTGCCTTTCAAATAAGTGAATCTTTAAACAAATAGTTTCAAATTTGCTATTTGGGAAAAAAAGTTTTGAATAAGTAATAGGCATATTTGCATAATAATGCATAATATTTAATAAAGCTTTGCCAAAGGAAATATGTTATTTATCTGTATAATTTATAAGATTTTAAATCAGTGAAGTTTAATGCTGGCAATTAGCCATCACTGGGGATTAGATGTTTGTAACAGGCATTGTTACATAATAATTATGTAATTAGGTGGCCATCCACTGTGTATAAAAATTTACAAGTACAACTGAGTTACCTGGGAAATTTGTTTAATCTGTAGTTGAGTAAAAACACTGGACAAAATACATATCATAGTAATTTATAAGTCTATGTGAAACATAATTCCTTAAATCTATAATCTAGACAATTCTAGGACTCATTTAAGAAAAAGGCTGTGTGAAGTAAAGATGACAGTGAATGTCAAGTTTGGTTCATATGAAATGCTTAATTGGGGCTGGCGTTGTGGCATAGGGGGTTAAGCCACTGTCGTCTATGCCGGCATCCCATATGGGCACCAGTTCAAGACTTGGCTGCTCTACTTCTGATCCAGCTCCCTACTAAAATGTGCCCGGGAAAGCAACAGAAGATAATCCAAGTGCTTGGGCCCTTGCTACCTGTGTGGGAGACCCAGAAGAAGTTCCATGCTCCTGGCTTCCACCTGGCACAGCCCTGACAGTTGTGGCCATTTGGGGGAGTGAACCAGTAGATGGAAGATCTCTCTCTCTCTCTCTCTCTCTCTGTATGTGTGTGTCTTTCCCTCTCTATATATAACTATGCCTTTCAAATAAATAACATCTTTAAGAAATTGTTAAAAAGTGTTTAATTAATTAATTACTGTTAGCAATTTCTCTGAAAACAGCCAGTACTAGCTCTGTTTTGTTAAAGTGCAATTTAAACAAAAAAACTTTTATATTATGTAATACATATATTTTTCTCCTGTTACTATTGTTTTGTTTCCCACAAATTGTTTTCTGGTTCTGAATTTAGCTTGACACATTACCAGTGTTTCCTTAATTTTTTAATAATTTTCTTGCTTTTCGGAGGGGTTGTGTTGTTCCTGCAATAAAAGCAAATTTTTGAAAAACACAGCATTAACAAAGTTTTGTCTACAAATAAATATGGAACTGGACTTTGCAATTGCAATTTTGTATTATTTACCATTACATTAAAGTGTCATAAAATACTTAAAATGACCAAAGTTTTCAGAAAACCATGTTAATATTTTTGATGGTAGAAAATCAGTTGTTG